GGGCCGGGGGGGGGGGGGGGGGGGGGGGGGGGGGGGAGGGAGGGACGAGCGGGGCGGCGAGCGCCGCGTAGAAATGAATTAAGGGCCGGTCGTTCGGCGGGCCGAAAAATTCGCGGCAGTAAAGCACCGCGTCGCGGTACCGCGGTACGCCACGGCTCGTTATCAATCGTGCGCGCGGTGGAGCATACGAGCTGACTCGGGGCACGCGCCTGCCGGGGTCGTAGGCCGCCCCACCCCTGCGAGCCGCGGCTCGGGCCCCTCTCCTCTCGGGGCGACGGAGAGGGAGACGGAGAGAGAGAGAGAAACCGGCCCCACTCCGGCGAACGGGGCCCTCGAGTCAAGTCCTCCCACTCGTCCGATCCCACTGGCCCCCTCCACTCCGCGTTCCCCCACCACGGGGCCCGGAGACCTCGCCGGTTCCCCGCGACCCGCCTCTGCTGCACTCGTTGCACGTCGCACGGGATACCTACCGCGACAGTGGCTCTCTGTTTCCGCGTTTTCCGCCGCGAAATTTCCCCGGCAATTCGGGCCCGCGGATGCGCGCTTTCCAAACAGTTTATTTACCGTGGGTGGCGGAGGTGTTCGAAGGTTCGGAGGATTCCGCGGAGCAACGAGAAGGTTCGTCGAAGGTTTCTCGTGTTCCCTCACCATTCGAAGAGCGAGCAAGCTAGCGAGCGAGCGAGCGAGCGAGTCAGCAGGCGAGCGGCCTGGCCTCTCCCTCCGTGGGCTCGGTGTCACGGGCCAGCGGTCGTAATGCGGCCCACACGCGCGCTCCACACTGCCGCGGAAATCGCATAAACACGCTTGCCGACGCATACGTACGCACGGTGGGGTAGAGACGCCACGACGCAGCCGACGAAGCGGTCCTACCTCCTGCAGGGGACCGTGTCACGTGGCCCCCAGGCCGTGTACCGTGTAGCGGCCACGCAGCGCACGGGCTGTGCTCTCTCGTGAGCGGCGCACACAACACCAGTCAGAGACGAGCCGAGAGCCGAGAGACCGGGCGCAGATCGCACTCTCTCTCCCAGGAAGCGCGTGCTTTCTCCCTCCCTCTCTCCCGCTCCATCTCTCTCTCACTCTCTCTCTCTTTCTCTCTTTTTCTCTCTGTCTCACTCTATCTCTCTCTCCCTCTCTCTCTCTGTCTCTCTCTCTGTCACTCTCTCTCGACACACACACGCTCCGTCCTCTCTGTCCCTCCTCCTATCTTTCTCTCGCTCCCTTTTTTCCCCGTTTCCAGCGGCATTTCAGCCGCGGCGCGTACGCGATACGATACGCGAGACGCGATCGGTCCCGATCGCCGAGCCATCGTCGCGCTGTCCACCCCCGCGGCGCGGATCGCGCGGAGCGTGCCCGAGCCGATCGAAGGATATACGTCGCGAGCAGCCGATACCGCCAGTATCCGTTCATTCGCGGGGCCCGCGGAGCTTTCGATTTCGGATCGCCACGTGCGCCACCGCGCAGTGTGTGTTATTTATAGTGTGCCGCCGCGCGAGCGAGACCGACGCGAAAGTATAACCGCGTGCCAACCTGCGGCACCCTGTGTCCCGGCGGTACCACAACACCGCAACAGTGCGAGGGATCCCGGGGAACGACACGGTTCCCTTCCCAGTGACACTTCTGGATAACGGAAGCCCCGTGATCGCGCGCGGCCGTGCGATTCGCGCGGTTCGTTTCGCGGATCCGAGGCCGAGAGTCTCGAGAGGCACGCGCGACCACGACGACGTCGACGCGCGGTACCCTTTTGCTGTGCAGTTGTGTCTTGTGCGCCGACCCGTGTGTGACATCGTGTCGACCCCGACGAAGAGATGCTATTGCCGCTGGCATCCGGTCCGCCGTCATCCTGATCCATCCGGGAGAACATGCTCCTGCCTCGAACGCCGCCGTCGCTCCGGATCCTCTTCGCGGATGAAACTGAATGGTGTGCTGATTTTCCTCCTTATCGTCAGCCGGCAGCTCGTTCTCCGCTCGTTCTACGCTCGGACAGTGCGCGCAAACAGTTCACGCGGTTCGAGCCGCATGTGTGTGTTACGTGCAACATAGGGCCGCGACACGCGACTTCGCGAACGCGCCGCGTTTTTCGCGGCGTCGCTCGGAACCGCCTCCGATGTCCGGCGATTTATTTCGGAGTTAGGCAGCCGTCGTTCTTTGCTCGTCGATTCTTTGGCCGGCGCTCGCGTTGGCGCCGTCACCGGATGGTTCAACCGTGCCGCCGATTAGAAGCTTATTTTGGAATCTCGGAGCGCGAGAGTTCGATTCGGCAGGCCCGACTCGGCCCGTCCGTCGCGACTCCGCTGTTCCCCCCGTCTTTTCCGATGTCAGATCGGAATCGATACGCGCGATCAGAAGCCTCGCGACTCGATTCGCGAATTCCGCGCCGAATCTGCGCACGTGCCGCGGTACGCCGCGTCGGACGCTCGCGATGACAGATCGCCTCTGCCCGCGGCCTGCCATCGGCAGCTTATTTCGGAATTCGGCCCCGGATTCCTGCGGCCGCGGGAATCTCGGCTCGTTCCTTTTGCGCGCGGACACCGTTTCGCGTCGATGCCGCGCAATGACAGATGCCGCGTGCGCGGAATTCGATCATCGGCAGATTATTTCGGGGACAGAATCCGGGGAATCGTCGTCGTCCGGCGCGGAGATTTCACGCGCCGACAGATGACACGTACACGGGGCCGGAACGTCGGAGGCATAGTTTTCGGTTGGAACGCGAGTTGAATCGCGAGCATGATCGAGAGTTTCGCTTCGTTCCGTTTCTATAGCGTCGCACCGATCATTATTCGATGACGCGTATCAGCGAGAGCAATCTAATTTTATCGTTATCATCGTTGAAAGGAGTTTCGATTTAGCAATATTTCGGGAAGACGAATGTTCGCGGTGTTGCCAGTGATCTAAGTTAAAATTCCACAATTCCTCTAGAATTCCGCGATTCCGCGAAGAATTCTGCTCCGGAGGACTTCGTTCCGTTTCTATAGCGTCGCATCGATGATCGCAATGACGTGTATCAGCGAGAGCAATCTAATTTTATCGTAATCATCGTTCAAAGGAGTTTCGATTTAGCAAATATTTCATAGGAAAAACGCGGTGTTGCCAGTGATCTGCGAGTAAAAATTCCACAATTCCTCTAGAATTCCACGATTTCGCGCAAAATTCTGCTCCGGAAGACTTCGTTCTGTTTCTATAGCGTCGCATCGATGATCGCAATGACGTGTATCAGCGAGAGCAATCTAATTTTATCGTAATCATCGTTCAAAGGAGTTTCGATTTAGCAAATATTTCATAGGAAAAACTAATGTTCGCGGTGTCGCCAGTGATCTGCGAGTTAAGATTTCACAATTCCTCTATTAATTCCATAATTCCTCAATTCCGCGCAGAATTCCGCTCCGGAGGACTTCAGTCTGCTTCGCGCGAGTGTCGCCACTTTGCATCGTCGTCTCGCGGGGCCCGCGGAGTGTTATTTCGAGATTAGCCTAATGTTGGTGTCCCCCGTCGCAACGAGGTGCCGGGCTCGCGCCGTCGAGCTGCTCGCGGATACAGGGCCCTATTAAGGCCCGCGGAACCCGACGATAAAGCCGGACAAGGGACCAACGAGCCGAGTCGCGTATCCGTACACCGGGCAAACATTTTTACGACACTGGCGTTGTTGAGCCTCCGCGCGGCAGTAAAAACCGCGCGTTAAAGGCCCGGGGACCGCGTAAACCCGTTAAAAAAGCACGCGGGGCCAGCGCCGAGGGAGCGTGCCGCTTGCGTTCGCGCTGTCACGTCGCCGGGCCCAGGGATCCACGATCGTCGCTCGCGGTCCGCTCGGGCGCGCGCACGCGATTGTTATTACTTCCGTGTGTCCGGCTCGCGTCTGCTTGCTCGCCGCTGTCCGGGGACTTCCGCCGACGAAAATTCTGATAGGCGCGAGATATCGATGGTGACAGGAAGAATGAGAAAGAGAGAGAGAGAGAGAGAGCGTTTAATCGGACGCGAAGGACGCGCGTGACGTTCGATCGGTGACAGCGTTCGTCGCGGCTTCTCCGACGGAATCGCGCGTCGGGCCCGCGTAATCGAATCATCGCGACGAACGCGACGCTCGTTTCGCAAAGCGACGGTGTCGGAACGTCTGGCAGACGCCGAGTTAATTAATTAGGACTCCGAGAGCGGTGTCCCGACTCGCGCGATCGTTTTATTCCCTGTCGCGAGAGACGCGAGGCTGGTGATGCGCTTCTTCGTGGAAACGTTTATTGTTTCATCGCGCAGATTCGCGCGGATTTTAGCGTAGAAACGGCGACGCCCGTTTTCCGAAGCCGTCAGTCTGCTCGGCCTGGCCCAACGATCTCTCATCGAGGCCCTCGGTTCATCGTTCCGGCAGTTGTTCGCCGATTTTTCTTTCCGCTCGGTTTTCTAACGTTCCGCTGAATCTGACAGCTGGGAGATGTTCCTTCTCCTCTTAGGGACTCGACTCTTAACCCTTTGCACTCGAATGGCGACTCTGAGGCGTCACTAAACATTTTTAATTTTTATTTTTTATTTTTCAAAATCATTCTAAGAGCATCAAACTCGATTATATTTTAAAAAAAACTATTAAAATTGCATTGTACTTGCCAACAGGCTCAATTTCATATGCATAAATCGCATTAAATTATATAAAATAGAAATACTGTAGATCAAAAATCATGTTTTGGATTTCGAATTCAAATAGCTTCGACTTGCAAAGGGTTAATTTCTTCGGGACGTCAACGCACGATCGAGGTGACGTTGATCGCCCGTAAGAGGGTAGCACCGACCATCCGACGTACACCGTTTGCCAACACCTGGGTGATCGGTATTATGCAACTCGAACAGCTCCGCGAATCGTCCGTCGCTCGAGTTGCAATTTTTCGAACGCTGCGCGTTTCGTTCACGCTGGAACTGTCGAGCGGTTAAAGCGATCAATTTGCGTTGTCCTTTGAAGACAACGAGAATGCGTTTGCAGAGTCATTGCTCGAGTTTTATATTGAATAGATTGCGGATTTGATGCGTTTGTGACAGAACTTGACAGTTGCAGTTTAAGATGGTAGATGCATTGAGGCAATTTAAAGATGTCAATGTACTAAATTCAATTTTTATTAAAGTTATTAAAACTATCGAAAATAAACGAACTTTCTATTTAGTTCATATTTGTGGAATTTGGCGAAGGCAATTCTTATTTTGCAATGTTTATTCTGAATTCTAATAGTAAAATACACTTGAATAAAAAGGCGCATCGAATAAAGTAAATTCTCCCTAATTGACGCTCAGTTTGGAAAATCATTGCTCGAGTTTTATATTGAATAGATTGCGGATTTGATGCGTTTGTGGCGAAACTTGACAGTTGCAGTTGAAGATGGTAGATGCATTGAGGCGATTTAAAGATGTCATTGCACTAAATTCAATTTTTATTTAATAACTAGATACATTGGTAGATACATTGAGGTAATTTAAAGATGTCAATGTACTGAATTCAATTTTTATTTAACAACTTTTAAAGTTATTAAAGCTATCGAAGAAAGAACGAACTTTCTATTTAGTTCATATTTGTGGAATTTGGTGAAGACAATTCTTATTTTGCAATTTTTATTCTAAATTCTAATAATACAATATACTTGAATAAATAGCCGTGTCAAGTGCAGTAAATTCTCCCTAATTGGCGCTCAGTTTGGAAACAAAAATGGACAATTTGGGAAGAATTGGGAAGACAATTCGTATTTATAATTATCTCTTCCTAAACTGTCCATTTTCATTCCTAATCTGAGCGTCAATTATGGAAAACTTGCTGTAACCGCGAAAAACATCTCGAAATTAATCTCGACAATAGCGAAATAAAAAGTCCCGAATCCGTCGTTTCGACGAATCCGTTCCAGCGTCGATTTTCGACAAGCGCAAAGTGCAACGTTGTCGTATCTGCTCGAGAACTTTCGGGCCTCGACGGGCCTTAACATTGTAACACGGATTTAACGCGAACGGACCGTGGAATTTTGGAACATGGCGAAAGTTGTTCGTGCGAAAATGCCGGATTTTTTAGCGAGTACGCCGCGCCGAACGATCGACCGAGATGGTAATCGACGGGGCGGTGAATCCGGAGCGGAAGTCGGATAAGCGGCGCGTATTCGACGATGACGGGGGCCCGGGCAGCGAAACGAGGATCGAACACGTGGCGGTCCGCTCGGTGCTCCTCCTTCGCGGCCCTTAATGAAGCGATCCCTATCGAGCGGCCGGGATCTGATAATTAAATCATGCACCGGTCCCGCGGCGTCGGATATTAATTGAATCGCGATCGGAATCGATCCACCTCGTTTCGCAAACACGTCCTGGCCGGGGCCCGTGTTCGCTCGCTCTCTCTCGGCCGCGACGCGACGCGACGCGGCGCGACGGCGCGCATTACGCACCGTTAGCTTTCTGATCCCGCCGAAAAACGACGACGCGGAAAAAGATGGATGTTTCCTCCATCGGGGCGGACCGATTTTAATTCTTCGCTCGACGAATTTTCGGGAATCGGCCGCCGCCGCCGCGGCCCGGTTTAATTGACCAGATCTTGTTAGCGACCCGGCCCCACGACGAAATTGAATATGCGAGGCTTATCGCCGCCGACACGGGGACCCGTGACGAGAGGAATTTCGGGAGGGGGGTTGCGGGGCCCACCGCCACCGGGCCTAACTGTTTTCTTGGCAAACAGTCCCGGTGGTCGTGAGAATTGTCAATGGTGTTGGTCAAACATTTCGCTGACGCGGACGACTGCTTCTCCGGCCACCTCGTCTCGCCGACGAAAATTCGCTTTCGTTCCTCGGACGATCGAGAGTCCGCGTGTGCTTACCGAAAGTTGTTTTTTTCGTCTGTTCCCGACGTCTGTTCCGCCAGGTGGTGGATCGCGCGTTCCTCTTCCGATTCCGTGCGCCCGTCGATTTTCTAATCCGAAAA